AATGTGTCGTGAGTTCTCATCAGTAGCATTCTGGTCTTCATCGTCATCTTTCTTAGTCTTATTGCCATTTTTGTGGTGTTTATGTCTCTTATGGTGTCCTCTGCGGCGATAAGTAGTGGGCATTTGGAAGCCATACGTGCAGTAGACGGTCAGCGCCCTATGGCCTACAGAATCGTAAGTGTATTGTAAGTGTAAGAATCGTAAGTGTATTGTATTTAATAGGTATTGTATTACGGATTGCAATATCAGTACTAATTGTAACTGTTAAGACGTTTTGAGAGTGTAAAGACATAATTGAGTTATAATATTGCTGAGAATACAAAACATTTGATATATTTTTAGATTCAATATAAGCTCATTATTGTTCCCTAAATATAAATTATTAATCCCCTGCTTTAAGTATGATTTCCAGTGAAACCAAATCAAAACATTGCTAAATAGTAATATAAATATTAATGCCAATCGAGTTTTATTACTAATAAATAAGGCATTTCACAATTGCATGAAATGTTTAAAATTATTTGCAAAATTTAATTTACAAATATTGCTATTCATAAATCACTGAATATGCACTGATTTATGAGCTATAATGACAAGTATAATAAATTTAACAAGTATGGAATTAAGTGAAAAATGTGTTCAATTGATTTAAAATTCAAATTCACTCAACCGTGTGATAGAATTTTAAAATTCAAATCAAATGTATTACTGTATTGTATGGTTATATGTGAAAACTTATTCTTATGTCTCTCATGTTCAGTGAATGTGAAACTTTATTAAATTTTATATCCTAACTGTTATTTCAATCGAAAAATACAAAAAACGGCCAAAATTTGTTAAAAGGATAAGAAATATTTATTCCGTATTTAAAACAAGATTTTTGAGTCGTTTTTATTGTTTTTCTATAAACATATTAACACTTTTTAATGTTCAGCGTATTATATCATAGATTTTACAGAGTTTTATGTCATCTCTATATTAGGAATCGTTTAGTTTTCCAGTGATTTATAAAACATAAAGATTATTATATAATATTATAACACAAACGAAAAATGTTTATTAATTGAAAGCATCGGATCGTAAAGTATTGAATCCAAAGTCAAAGGATGTATTGTAAAGTAAGCTCTGAATTAAAGGCTATAAAAATCAATAACCGATCAATTCTTGTCACATATTCTGTGAACAGATTTTAATTACACAATAATTTTCATTTCATAATCATATCAAATAAATGGGTTGTATTGTCGGCGATCTATATATCACATGAATGTCTCAAATAACGTGTAAATGATTTAATTAGAAGACATACCTTCGAAATCCTTGTCCGTATAGCTGGGGTGCGATGTGAGAGCACCGGGATCTCTGGCCACCTCATCAGCGTCGGGTCCCCGGGGTTTAGACTCCATTTGAACACTGAATTCAATGGTTCAGGGTTAGTTTAGGACAATTTAGACGGATGCGCTGAATGGCACCGACAGTATGACTGCATCGACAGCACAGACAGCATCGAAGGGACGCATTGCAACCAATGCTAACCATTTGCTTGTGATAGCAATCCTTTTAATCGCCTAAAGCTTTGGCAAAACAGGTGTGAATGTCACTAACACTACATGTGTTGCACTCATTGAAGATAAAGATTGGACAGAAATATTGAGAGAATTTCCATCAAATGCTAAACCAGTGAGAAGTCATGGAACTGGAGGTGCAGTGGGAATGTTGTCTCGTATGGTATAGTATAATGTAATGTTTGATGAATTCTGCTCTAATAGCGACTCTCATAGAGAAAGCATTGATATAAGGGCTTAAGGTTTAGACTTGCGTTGCGTTGCGTCCCTCTGATGCCTAACCGCTATTATATATGTTATATAACTTATCTTACATTCAATGAGTTAATGACAAGTAGCAAATATTAGCAAATACATCGTTATTTCAATTATTATACACATTAGATGTCATAGTATACATGATACCAGTGCTGGAACTGATTGAGACAAACAAATTGTAACAGACAATGAGTAATATCAGAAATATTAGACTAAATTGTTGTGAAAATCGCGTACATTTTGTTCACATTAGTAATAGTTAAGAGCAGACATACATACAGTAAGTTATATACAATAGGAGTCTGTGTTGTATAATACAGTATACGGTATGGTATTGTATGCTATGATGTGATGCTTCGCTTTCAGCATTCAATTGACGCAAACATTGCACTCATATATACGATATATACTCGTAATACTGGGAATCCAATGAATGGCATCTTTGGATCCAAAGAACTCAGATCTGAGCCAACAATCATTGTCTGTGAGAGTGGATGCAGTGCTCGTGCGCTCTCACATCCACTCTAACCGCTGGAGATCTGCATCTCTGGCGCATTCACGCACTCAGTATTGCGTTTCGCGTCTCAAACAACCATTCAATTCAATGAGAAAATCCTATGACCTTTGCATTTGTGACAATTAACTCCCTCTGACTTACCATTCAATTCAATTCATGAAACTTATTAACTCTTTTAGACCCAAATATTCAATTTATTTATTATTCAATATTTCAATTAATTACAAATCAAAATAATACATACATTTGATTATTGGTTTGAGAAAAGTATTTCATTGCAAGTGATTTGTTTCAAAAATCAAAAATTACATTATTTTTCAAACATAAGTAAAAGTAAAGCCAATTAATTGTGATTTAGTTAAAAATAAATAGCAAACTTTGATACAAATACTATTATAATATAAATTATTATATTAAAAAATTGAAAAATCTATTTTAAAAATCACAGACAAATTAA